AGGAGACCCGGGCCCCAGACATCCAGACAGCCACATCGCAGGAGCCCCAGGGGGCCGTGGCGGCGAGCACGCAGGCTCCCTCGGCGGCCGGCCACACCAGGGCAGACCGGACCCCGGGCCCAGAGGACCAAGGGCCCCCCCACCCCCCAGCTGGGACCCGACAGAGCCGGAAGGACCAGGCCCCGACAGGCAACCGCCGAGAGTGAGTCAGCACACACCAGAGCATCCAGCCCCGGACATCGAGAACCACCAACGCATCGGCAGCCGGGGACCCCATCCACCAGCAGGGAATGTGGTGGGGGGCAATAGAGCCTGAGATGTTATTTCAGGTGGAGTCTAAGACCCAACCTGACACCTGCGTAAAGACAAACAGGCGCACACATACACAAGCATACGTTCCCACCCTCATGCACACATAATGAAATATTCACCCATTCGCCCAACATAAAGACACACAGAAATTTTGAATCATTCTGTGCTGCAGATGGGTTAATTGCATTAAAATTTTTAATCAGATTAATCATGATGATGGATTAATCCGCGTTAACGCGTTAATTTTGACAGCCCTAATTATAATGTTATCCATACATACCGTGCTCAGCATAAATGAGTGCACTGCCTTTGAAATTAAAACTTTTAATTTCCCAGTGATACTGACGATGGCTGTATTTTGCAAAACAGTTTTAGTAATATTTATTTGTACCAACACCAACATAAGCGTATTATCACCTTTACTTCTTTAGGATAATAAAAATGACACATTTTATTCAAATAAGGCGATGGAAAAATAATTACACCCCAATGGATGTCTCAGCAGAAAAACTTAATAAAAATTTAATTGACAGGAATTGACCAACAGATGAATCTGTTCAATCATCACACAGGTGGCCACAAGATAATTGATTATTAAAAATGGTATTTAAGAGAGAAAATCTAATGCTGACAAAATGTCACAATATCTGGGAAAGAAAATAATTTGTTTTCACAATAAAGGTCAAGGGTATAAGAAAATTACTAAGGCATTGCTAATAAGTTTGAACAAATGTAGCATCGTAACATCATTTGTTGCGTGATATGAAATATAATTTGAATTTTCTTGTTCCAATGCTGAAAACAAAGTTAGGCTAATGTTGTGTATGTTTGTTCCAGGAAACATTAATGGCAGAAGGTTATGCTACATGGCAGGCTGCTTCAAGGCACAAAAATTCTCAGACAGCAGTGTACAAGAACAAGGTGAATTAGGAGACACTGAAAATGACCAGAAACCAACCATAAAAAGCGCGGAAACAATTTTCTAGTGCCAGAGATGACCGTCAACTTATCCGGTAGTACCTTATGACCTCAAGCGACCTACAAAAAGAATGGGAAACATTTGTGAAGTGCATTACTAGGAAAACTCATAATAGGCTCCTAGAAACAGTATTAAAGACCCCTAAAGCAAGGAAGAAGCCCTTCATCGATGAGAATCAGGGAAGAGCCAGGCTGGAGTTTGCAAAAAATGTTTATTTTACACAGGCACATACCCAAAAATTGAGAAATGAGTCAGGTCAGGTCAGGTTGGGAGCATGCGCTGATGCAGCACATTGCCACACCCACTACACAATGAAACTCCTCAAGATCCTGCCCGGCGACCCCCCAGGGAGACACATGGTCCAGTCCCACCCTCCAGAAATGACCGTCCATCTGATGCAGCCAGGTGTTATGTGGGCGTCCCCTTGGCCTGGTCCAGCTGCTTGGGTCTTCAACAATGAGGATCCTGAAAGCCGGATCACCCTCAGGGAAACGCGCCACATAGCCGCACTGCCGTAACTGACGCTCCCTCACAATGCAGGTAATGTGCCTCATTCGGGACTCCTCTAGCAATTGCTCATTTGGCACAAATTCAAACCAGCAGTTCCCAAGGATTCTCCGAACAGAGACAGTACCGAAGGAGTCCAGTCTTCCTCTCAGCTCACTGTATAGTATCCATGTCTCACAGCCATACAGCAAGACTGGGAGCACCAGGACTCTAAACACTTGGACCTTGGTCCTCTTGCAAAGATATCGAGAGCACCACACACCCCTTTCCAGCAACCTCATAACCTCATGATCTTCCAATCCATCTGCTGACTTCAAAGGAAGAGTCACCAGCCTCCATTGACTCTGCAAAGATCACAGCATCGTAGGCAAAATCAATATCAGTAAATCTTTCTTCACCAACGGACGCCCCATAGCTGTTGGACCCCACGGTCCTGCCCAACACCCAGTCCATACAAGCAGGAGCAAGGAGCAAGAACACACCCCTGGTGAACCCCAGAATCAACTGGGAAGAACGCAGAGGTTCCCCCTCCACTCTATACAGCACTCACCGTACCAGTGTACAGGCTGGCCATGACGTCCAGCAACTTCAGGGGGATCCCATGAAGTCTCTGGTGAGTGAAATGAGTGAAACTGGAAAGTTTTTTTCCAGAGTTGTATGTTGGTTCTGTGTGAGCCATCACTGTGCCCTATGGTAAACCAACCAATCAGAGCAGAGCTCATGAACATATTGTAGCATCAGAAAGTTAACTTCCGCTAGCAGAGGTCGTTAACATCTCCTAGCATGCTCTGCAGTTGTACATAGCCCTTGCTGCTGTCATTATAAATAGCTGTGCTGTGTGCTCAATGTTGCATGTTATGGGAGGTATTTTCTGCAAAAAATAAAATTTAAATGAAAATGATAAAAAGAAAATACAATCTCCACTTTGCCATTTACTTTCCAAAGTATGTGCGCAAAAATCCTGCAAAAATTAAAGTTATGATGAAATAGCACTATTTGCATTTTAATTTTCCACTCATGTATGAGTCAGATGTGTAAAATTGAACAATAAAATGAAAAACCCTTTTTGTCTTTTCATTTTCCAATTTGACTTTAAATTTCCTACTTTGGCTTTTCATTTTCAAGTTCGCTACATGGAAATATATGTTAATCGGAGCGGGGCGGTGGGCGGAGCTACTGATCACTGCTGTGCTTCTCAGTGCGTTTGCCGATTCCTTTCTCCTTGTGTTTCTTGCCCATGTCGCCCGTGTCGCCCAAACTAATGGCAAAGTCACACGATGCTTAAGTTAGCTACTTATCTGCAGCTTCCTATTCATTTAGCTTCTTATTCATAGCGTCTTATTTCGGGGCTTAAGTTGGAAATCAAAATAACGTATGAATAAAAGGTTTGAGAACGTATATTTATTTCGTAAATGTATCGAAAATGGTGGAATTACCTGGGCATAATGTGATTTTTCATTTGTAACAGTTAACTGGTCACATGACACTTTGATCAATTGTTCACACTTACATGTGTTTCTTTGCAATATGTAACTCACT